TCTTTGCTCCCTGCTATACCACCTTATGGGTGGTCACTAAGCCCCTCTGGACTTCCCTTGGCACAGATGAACTAATGCCTCTCTACTTGATCAGAAACAGCTGGCCTGAATCTGGAGCCTGGGCAGCTGCCACTCAAACCTAACAGGGCAGGAGCTGGGGAGGGGCTGCATAGATGGGGCACAAGTGTGTGACAGTTGGCAGAACTGGCACAGAGATGCTGGTCATCTCAGGCCAAGTCTGACTTTCTGGCCAAGACGGGGTGGAGGATCAAAGTCCTTCTGTTCCTGCACACTGGGGGCGTTTTAAGAGCAGCTCCACGGGGCTAGGGAGATAGCTCACCTGCTAACACTTGCTGTGTAAGCCTGAAAACCTGAGTGTGAATCCCCAGGACCACATAAAAAGCCAAACTTGGTGATTTGTGCCTGTACCTTACCCCCGGGGAGGCAGAGACGAGAGGGTCTCAGGCTTGCTGTTCAGCAAATCTAGCTGAATCAATGAGCTGCAGGTTCAGTGAGGGACCTTGTCTCCAAATATAATGTGAGGCCAGCGAGATAGTTACGCTGAAACACTTTCCTTCAAGTCTGATGACCCGAGGGAGAGCTCTGGATCCCACATGGTGCAAGGAGAGAAGCAACTCCTGCAGGTTATCCTCTGCCCTCCACATGCATGCAGAGGCACTGGTACCTGCATGTGGGCATGCATGTGCACACATGTGCATGCACACACAGACACACACACACAATAAATAAGTGTAATTCCTAAGATGTTTAACACATAAGACAGAGAGTGATAGAGGAAGGTACACACCCTGGAAGTTGACTTCTGGCCTCCACACACATGTGCACACATGCATTCACATAGACATGTACGCAAGCATATACTTCAACACAGGCCAAAGAGCAAACCCAGGAGGATGCCGCCCCATTTTACATATGAGGACACTGAGCCACAGAGAAGTAAAAGTCCAGCAATTTGATGCTAGACTCCTAAGGTAGTTATGGAGGGCTTTGGGGCAATTCTGTGGGGTACCAGAGCAGGGAGAGAGAGAGGTTTGGAGTGGATCAGTGGCTCCCCTGAGCACAAGGCATAGAGTCACACCCTGAAGAGGCAAAGCAGGAAGGCCTCATTGTGACAGCTCCCCTGGTCACCTGCGCTGTAGAGGGAACCTCTGTTCAGAGATAAGTCGGGTCTCACGTTTTACCCTGGGCCTCTGGATCCTGAAAGGCAGGCCCAAACTGGCAGATGTGTGGCGGGACGGGTGAGGGCTTGTTCAAAGTGCCTCATCTTTGCCCTGGGCTCAAACGTTAAGAGTCAGGGGCATGGCCAATTTGATTCTCTAAACATGTTCTGGCTGGATTCAGCCCTCCTGCTAAGGGCTCTTGGGGTGGCTAAGCTGAGGGTCAGACATTCCGTCATGCCACAACACGAACAGGAGGTTCTTGTTTAGTTTGCGTGTCTTAGGTAGCTGGGCACTCAGGCATGCCCACCTCCGAGGGCAGACAGTGGGGGTGACCTTGGAGGCCAGCCAGCCTGAATTTGTCTAGGGAACAGGACACTGGAGTGGCCTCTTCCCTGCAGGCTGGAACCAGGGGAGCACAGAGAGAAAGGAAGTGTGTCCATGTTAGGAACCAAGGCCACTTCTTGGCATGCTGTCAAATGTCATTGGGACCAGGAAGAGGAGGGACTTGGGGAAAGGAACTTGCCTGAAGGTCAGACCCTGGCTCGGGTCACAACACTGGGCTGGCGGGCTCCTTCCCTCTCCTACTGTGAATAAGGCAAAGGCCCTTCCCAGGGTTGTAGGAGAAAGCACGTGTGACATATGGCAAGTGACTGTTTGGAGTAGGGATGAAGAGGGACAGTGCTGTGGCCAGGAGGGGAATGAAAAGATTTCTGCCAGCATTTGGGGTGTGACTCTTCCAGACCACAACCCCAGGGCTTTGAAAACGTGAGGCAGGTAAATAGAGGCGGGCTTCTGCTTGGCTCCGCCTCCAGGGAGCCGGGGAGTTGACTCCAAATAAGGTCTCAGAAAACAGGCTTGGGCGGACTCAACTCACATACTTTGGCTAGCCTTCATTTAACTTTATCTGGCAGGGTGTCCTTGAACCCCAAGCCCAGGCTAGAATCCCCACGAGGCTTAGCAGCCCGCTTTAACAGTTGAGAGGGGCCCCCTTTCTCCTCATCTTGGACCAGTCTGGTTTTCATACTCTTCCCAGGCTAGGGGAAGGGAATGGCCTGCAGTGGGAAAGCCTGTCCCGGGCACTGGCACACAGCTGCCTTTGTGAGGGTGGCTGAGTCACATGGGCACCGCCATGCATGCTGGACCCTGGGGCTACGTGACGGGAGGTGGCGTTATCACGGGGGCTGTGGCTTCCCCCACGCTTGTGGGCAGGAGGCTTTCCCACGGGAATGAAGGGAGCAGGGAGGTGTCTGGGAGCACAGTACTGTCAGATCTTCGGGTTACAGACTATAGGATTGTGGGGTGGCTTTGGGAAGGTCCTCTTTCTGGGCCTCCGTCTTTATCTCTGAAAAATGGGGGGTGTGCTCCTGTTGTACAGAGGGGATGCTGGATGTTTACTAGCTGGAGCTTTGCACCCTTGTGTGCACTCAGCATCCGTATGCTGGGCATTGTGCTCCAAAATATACAAGATCACCGAGCTTGCAAGAGAAACCTGTGCTTGAACTCTTCTCGCCCAGTAAAAACCCATCTCTGAGCAGGCAGTGGCTGTCTGGGCCCCTGGCAAGGGTGGGACAGCTCATTGCTGTTCACGAGGCTGGCTTGTGCAGCCTGTTGTTCTCTCTGGCAGGTTAGGAAGAGATGAAGGCCTGAATGTCCCCTGAAGTTTCACCAGCCACACACTCCATCTTTCTCTCTGCCTTGTCTCAGGCAGCAGCCTCAGCGGGCACAAGCCTTGTTGGTTTGTTCTAAGTATCCTGGGGTTCATGTGCCCCTGAGGTCTCTCACCGAGGGAGCAGGTGCCATATTTGTCCTCAACCGACAGCAAAGAGGTGGCGGGGTAGAGATGTTTGCCCAAGTCACCAGCTGGCAGAGTCTGCTGTAGCCAGTTGGCTCCAGATCAGCATCAGCATTGCCTCCCTTCCATCCCTTATGCAGAAGAGGCAACCATCAACTTCCTCTGTCCCCTACCCCACCCCTGGCCCTGCCACCAGTCTGTAGCCCCCCAGCCCTCCCTGTGGAGCCACGGCTCTATGGCTGAGCCCCGGCACCATGTTTCCAGTGGCCACGGAGGATGTGTGGCTCCCATCCCAGCAGGCATTAGGGCTGCCTTTTCTCACCTCCCAGATCTGCACCCCATCCCCAGCTATACACATCAGAGATGCTTTTGATACCTCCCCCTTTTCTGATTGACTTTCCCCAACCCTGCATCTGGTCTCTTGGATGAGAGTCTTCACCCCAGCTTTTCTTTGTCTCATCCTACAGGCACCCCTTAGTCGAACACCTTCAATGGCTCCCAGTACCTTTGATGAGCCCTCCAGTTCCATGCATTCAAAATCGTCCACCATATGCCCCCATTTCTTCAACAGGTTCTATTTCCTTCCAAAAAAGGGCTCTCTACCCCTGCTGCTGTCCCCCTGGAAGGCCCTTCTGTGGCTCTCTGTTTATTGGTGGTCCTGTCCTCTTCAATATTCAGCAGGGGCTCTGGCTTCACTAGGTTCATACCTGGCTTCTAGCCTTTGAAAGGTGTGGCCAAGAGTCCCTTGCTTTCTCTCTCCCTGGGGCCTCTTCTGTACGGTGGAGACATGGTGGAAATGATGAGGTGAAGGGCCTGCACCTGACAGGTGTTTGTTGAGAGCCACAGGCCCACCCATGTCTTAACCGTGTGGCCTTGGATAAGCCACCCGCTTGTGTGCAGTCACCTCATCTTACGTCTTACGCAATGGTGCTGTTGTGAGGTGGACCACTGGGCTCCGGCCTGACCCCGCCTGCCACTTCCCCAGCCGTGTGACCCTGAACAAGTTAATTCCCTTCCTCTGCCCAGCCCTCTTCCTTCATTACTCCATTCCTGGAGAATATTTCTCGAGTCTCATTAAGCGTGAAGAAGACATGAGGGATGCCGGCGGTGTGATCGCTATTAGTCCATTACTGCCATTATTGTTATTGTTGCTGCTTGCCCTCATTAGGTTGTGAAATCCCCACCGCGCTTGCCACCCAGGACTTGTTTGTTCACACCCTATGGAGAGGAAAGACTGGAGACTTCCCTCTGGAGGCCTAGGCTTATTCCACTACCCCCCCCCATACCTCCCACCCACTCCGGGCTGTGCAGGACCAGCGAACCTCAGAAGCGGAGGGAACAGCTAACACAGACGACCGGCTCGAGCAGGCATGGTGGGGTTGGCCCATTTCCAAATTGCTCTTTCTGAGGTTTTGAAAGGGCTCTTTATCTGGGCCTCAGTTTCCCATTTGACTCAGCAGACAGACTATTTCTAGAGATCCCTGGGGTCTCAGGGTCTAGGACGTGGGTTTTGAAAGGTTGCTGCTGATGGAGAGCCAGGAACTCTGGCCTGGCTTCCTGCTGGGAAGAAGATGCTCAGAGACACAGGTCAGCATGGTCTCAAGCCAGCGGCCTGACACCCCCTTCCTCCAGGAGTCTGCCAGTCAGGACTGACTTCTGCCTGCTGCCAAGGAGGTTCGGCTGACCTTCAGGAAGGGGCAGTTGTTGGCTGCGCCTGGAGGAGGGGACAGCATCTGAGTGGCCTGTTGCCATGGCAAATTGGTTTCTTTGACAGAACTTCAGGAGGGGCAGCCCCCAGGGACCTTGATAATAGGGGGGTGAGGAGGCACAGTCACCCCAACTCATTCCCATCCCTGAAACCGGCACCAGGGTTCTGAGATTGATTAGAGGTGAGACCCAGGTTCCCACTTGCCAGGCCTGAGTCATGGGCATCCCCCAGGGTCCCCGCCTCACCTCTGTCAGCCCTGCCTCCTCCTGCCTCCCTCTGAGAAAGCCATGACTCACAGTTAGCCAGTCATCTCATCCCCAGCCTGAAGGGAGGAGCTGAGCTAGGGCAGGAGGGTGTCCCGGCTCTCCCTCCGGTTCTCCTGTTCTCCAGCTCCACACCGGCTGCTGACTGCAGCAGAGGGACTGCCGGCTGCCAAGAGTCTGCCCCTACCCCCGGCCAGTGCACTTGCTAGCTAGCTCTTGCTCTCTCTCTCCCGCTCTTACCCACGAGAGACCCAGACTGGCAGATTCAGCCTTGGAGGTGAATCCTGAAAGGGGGTCCAGCTGCCTGACTCCTTCCAGAGCCCTCTGCCTGGCAACAGGTACGGGATTAAGGGCAGCCAGTAGGTGGGAGGAGAGGCGGCTGCTGAGAGTGTAGAACGTAAAGGAATCTTGTGTGTGTGGGGGGGGGGGGGGCAGCTTAGCTCAGATGAGTACAACTGTGGGGGTCTCTAGCATAGAGATGTGTGTAAACTGAAAGCTGCCGAGAAAGGGACAGGATCAGATGGAACCCAACTTTCGGAGCCCCTCGTTGGGCCTCTGGAAAACCAAGGCTTGAGTGATACAGTCTTGGGCCCAGCAGTGTGGCATCTGTGCCTTGGGACTTTCATTCTCTGTTCTCAGCTAGATGGGGTGACACACACACACCCCTGTAATCCCAGCATCTGGGGAGGCAGAGGCAGGAGGCTCTCAGGTTCAAGGCCTGCCTAGGCTACAGAGATCTCTGCTCCTATTGCAGGGTTGGGAAAAGGGAGACTCTGAGAGGGCAGGCGGCTGGCCTGAGGTCACACAGCAAGTCTAGACGGAGAGCCAGGCTCCAGAAGAGGGCACTGTGGTGGACTGAGCACAGTACCCCTGAAGCTGGCCTCCCCTGTCACTTCCCTTTGGGACAGAACAGGGCCCCAGAGACAGCACAGTCTAACACTCTGAAACCCAGGAAGGAAGGCCTGGTGTGGCCTCTGGTCTGAACGGGAGGCACCTGGACCAAGAGTCCTGGGAAGTGAAGCCAAGGGGCCAAGAGCTCCTTACCCATGAACCACAAGAGCTCAGGGCCCCCAGCTGCTTGGGCCTGATAGGCCCTTAGTCCCCCTTCCCCTGGTGTAGGAAATGGGGGCAGGGTTCCTGTTTTCCCCACTTTCTAACCAGCCATCTGGTGGTGACCGTTAGGGCCTCCAAGGGGCTCATTTTACTGAGGGGGTGGGGCGAGGAGGGGCAGAGTCCCTTTGTCCCCCTTCCCTCTTAGGCAGCTGTGGTGTGGGATGGATGGTATGGGTGGGGACAATCACATACCTTCTTCAGAAGGCCAAAGAGGTCGCCTATGCATCCACTCAGCGCTGACTGAGGGCTCCCTTAAGTCCTAGGGGCACAACGAGCAATAAGGCAAATAGGTCAGTTGGAACTTATAGGTGGCCCCCTCCCTCGAGGCCCCCAGGAGTCAGAGACTATGGGAAGGGGCAGCTCGGGTCATTTGGAGCTGCAGGTTGCTGAGGGTCCCCAGAATTCAGGCCAGTCCCTGCCCCGTTCAGAGACTTTACTAGCTTTTGGGGCCAGACTGTATCTTCCGTTGCTATTGGAGCCCCAGAAACTTGTGTTACAGCCTGCTTTGATCAAAGCGACTTCACCTGGCCTCTCTCTGCATTGTTAAATTGGCATGGGAGGGGGTGGACCTTGCCACCTTGCCTCCCACGGGCTGAGGACTTCAAGAATCCCAGCCAGGCTCCTGGTCCTCTTTGATGAGAAGGGTGTCTGAGGTGGCATCTCCATCCTGTAGGGACAGGCTGGCGAGGGGGTGTGGCTGCAGAGGGAGATGAAGGGACCAGAGGAGGTGGCAGGAGCTAGGGGTCTATGAGAAATGGGGAGTGAGTTGGGCTCTGAACTGGGCAGAAGGGAAGGGGGAGGGAACGGTGTCTGAGAACGGATGGCTGGAATGTCCATGGAAGAGAATGCAATATGGGAAGAGTTTGGGGGAACGATAAGAGCTTGGAGGCATGGGACTAGCTGCAGTCCTGTTGTCTGACGTGGGTCACTTCAGCACGCTTGGTGTCATGCCAGGGGGTCTCATTCTTCCACGCAGGGGAAGCAATGGCAGGAGGACTGGGCAACAGGGCGGGAAGGGCAAAGGATGAGTGCTGAAGGTCTGGTCTGGCTGCCCAGCCCCTGGCTGCTAGCTTGAGCCTCAGGCTTAGGGATGACTTTCTGGCTGAGGAGAAAGAAGTGGAGGTGAGAGTCCAGCCGAAAGGAAGGGAAGAGAGCAGACAGAGGTCTGACAGGGCAGTGTGGTCCGAGAGGATGTCCTGCTTACTCAGGATCCCGCATGGTGAGGGAAGAAGGCAGCCTGGGCAGGACAGCCATGGAGGGGGCCTCTGTAGATGATCTCCTGTCTGGTGGATGCTGAGCCCTCCGGGGGATGTGGGATGGACTTCTAAGAAGTAGGGGAAGGGGCAGGGCCCTGAGAGGGGTGTGAGAGGTGCCGGCTGGTGGGGAGGTTGGGGGAAGTGTGACCACACAGCACCCAAACCCCAGTGTTGCACCCTCCCCCTAAGATTGAGTAGGGCTTCATGCTGCCATCCCGGTCCTCAGCGTGGCCTTGCCTTCTGACTCACATCAGATGGGGGCATCATGTGAGTGCACCCGGCAGCCAAGGGTGACCAGCCTCCAGGGTCCTGGCAGATGGCAAATGGGGGGTGGGGCAGAGCTGGCACAAAAGGGCCTCTCAGAGGCAGTGGGTGGAACACTGGCAAGCCATCTCTCGCTCGGCTGAGAGCTTGTCCCTTCTCCAGGCTCTGGATCTCCATCTCCATCTGGAATTGCTGAGGGCCCCTGGGGGAGCCTGTAGATTCTGAGGTCAGGCCTGAGCTATGGGGGAGAGGGACTAAGGTTAGCTCCCTCAAACCACTGGCCTACCTGGTGAGAGATGGTCTGAGACATAGTCTCAGGCCCCGTGTGCTCCAAACTCTCCAGGTTCCCTGGGATCCCAGCCTGGATTGGAGCAACCCTAAACCTCCCATGCTGGGCTCAATGCTTTCTTTAGAGGCAAGGAATGTAGGTGAGGAGGCTTCCCCAACAAGGCAGCTGAATCTCTGGGGCTCCAGGTCCCACTGCTGTCTTCTTCTGCCTCTCTTAGGAGGCAAGGTGGTCTTGTCTGGTCCTAAGCTAGTTGTTGGAGGGCATGTGCCCATGCCTTGCCACTGGCAAGCCCATGCATTGGTGATGGGATTCAGGCAGGCTTGCTCAAAGAGACCTTGGCTGTACCCTTTTTTGGTTGTGTGGGCTTAGACACGTGCCTCTGTTTTCTCATCTTTGGCCGTATCTTTAGGGGGCTGCTCAGAGCGTGGCAGAGTTAGCATGAACCGGCTAGAATGGTACTTGCACCATTGGGGAGTTAGCATTTTTCTCTCTCACCCCCATTGGACAGATGGGCATACCGAAGCCAGAGACATCACTTTTTCTTATCTCTACTGCCTGAGGGGGAGCTGGACACTGGAACGAGTCGGCCTGCCCCAACTAGCTCTGTGTGTCGGCAGGAAGACGTGCATGATTGGGCACCAGGCTCCTGGGCTGGCATGGACCTTGGCGATGTGTGGAGTACAATTCCAGGCAGGCAGAGATAAGAGCTTACTGAGAGAAGCTGGCAGAGCATCGAGCATCAGCAGGCAGTCCTCTCCACGATAATGGGAGATGGGCTGGGGTTAAGGGACCGGTTCTCCTAAAGCCAGCTCTAGTGCCCTGATGCATCCATGGTCCCGTGGCCAATAGCTTCATCCTGCCTTCCCTGTTTCAGGGCTGCTCTGACTCCAAAATGTTGAGATAAAAGACTGTCCTTACTGACTCTCCTTCCCACCCTTCTGTCCTCAGTCCTCTTCCTTCCTACCTGCTAGCAACATCTGCCTGGATTCTCAGTTCCCATGGCAGAAAGTGGGTGAGCACCAGAGACTCATTACACTGCCAAAGACGGAGCTTCTCTGGGCCTCAGTTTCCTTGTCTGTAAATGGAAATGACCAGGCCTGTCTCTTGTGAGCTTTGTTGCCAGAACACAGGGCAACAAGGGCTGCAAATGTATAGTTAGCACTCTGCCGCTTTGAGGGTCCTCTGGAAGCTCTGCTCAAATACTTGGGGATGCTTGAATTACAATGAAGTTCAGACCCTTGACGAGTGACCTTGAACAGAGGCCCTCTCCTCTCTCCTCTGCCCTTCTCCCTCCTCTTCAGTCTTCCTCTCCTCTTTGTTTTTCACACAGGGTTATTGCTATGTAGCCCAGGCTGGCCTCAAACTCATGATCCTCCTGCCTCAGTCTTCTGAGTGCCAAATTAGTAACTTCCTTGCTCTGAGTCTTATTTATGGTAAGGTGAGGATGGGATACCTGAATCTCTAGGAGGGGATGTGGGGAGTGAGAGGGGTAGCCACTTGTTGCTGGGACTCAGAAAAATCAGGCCTCATCCCCATCTGCCCCAGACCTTCTCCGTCTCCCATTATGGCAGTGACCTGGGTCAGGTGCACAAGTAGTTAGGAGTGTGGGCTCTGGGGCTGCCTGGTTCCATCTAAGTGCCAGCAGCTGTGTGGATTTAGACAGGTGTGCTAGCCGCCCTGTCCTTGTTTTCATCATCATAATTAGTAGTATTTTGTTTTTTCAAGACAGGGTTTCTCTGTTTAGCCCTGGCTGGCCTTGAACTCACAGAGCTCCGCCTGCCTCCTGAGTGCTGGGATTAAAAGCAAGCGCCACTGCTGCCCGGACTTTCTCTAGTCTTAAAACAGGAGTGAAAACAGCATCTTGAGAGGGTTGAGGGAGCCATGAGATTTTAAGTGCATCATTCCCAGACCTGCAAGTGCTGTGCTCTACTGGTACCATTCTGGAACCTTCTCTGGGGGAATAGCAGAGCCTTTATTCTGGAGCAACAGTCTGCCCCTTATCAAAGATGTCATCCAATCCGTGGACAGCCCACACCCTTGCATATTCCATTGAGAGAGTGCTTCTTTGAGAATTGTGCTGTCTGGGACTTGATCCTGCCTCCTAAGACCCGAGGCCTTACTTCCAGACACTTCCCTGATATGCGGCACTTGAAAGCCAATCAGTTTTATACAAGAGCCACCTCCTTTGTGGCTGTCTTCCTCAGAGCTCTGCCTGGGGTTCTCTGGTGCACAGAAACCCTTGTATAGAGAGGAGAGGCTCAGTAAGATGGTGGACAGACAGACTGCATGGTGAACAGATGTCTTTGGCATCCACGGTGTCTGGTCCTCACTTTTCTGGAGAATATCACTGTTGACCTTGACCCCTAGAGCTCCCATGACCCCTTAGATGTTACTTGTCTGCTGGAGAAATCTTACA